GCGTTCTCGCCCCAGCGCGGGCCTTTTTCTCGCGCGCCCATCCGCCCGCCACCACCGCGCCGCACCACCACCACCACCACCACCACCACCACCACCACCACCACCACCACCACCACCACAACCCAACCACACACCAGCACCAGCACCAGTACCAACATCACCACCAGCACCACCACCACCACCAGCACCAACCAACCACCACCATCACCACCACCACCACCACCACCACCACCACCACCACCACCACCACCACCACCACCACCACCACCACCACCACCACCACCACCACCACCACCACCACGACAACCACGCACACACGCACGCACGCACGCACGTGCACCACCACCCACTACGCACGCGCGCGCGGAGCCACAGGTCCGCTACGACACGCGTCCGCGGATAGAGAAAATCAGCGCCATGGTAAGGGATGGGAGGGAGGGGTAGGACGTCAGATATGACGCGAGCGCACCTAGCTTGTCCTCCTCCCCCTCCCCCCCCCCCTCCCCCTCCCCCTCCCCCTGCTGGCGTGCTCAGGAGAGGCGACCTGCATCACGGCGACGTCGGCGCGGGAGCTCGACTACTTCTGCGTGGACGCGGACACGCCCGTCCAGAGCGTCAGCAAGTGCGACTGCTTCGACGTCAGGACGCACCGCGCGGTCCTCCTGCAGCTGGCGCTGCCCAAACCTGGCGGGCTGGTGGCGCGGGTGCACAAGGCCCGCGCTTTCCATGCCCAGGCCTTGACTGGGCCTCAGCTGCCTGGGCCAGAATGGGCTGACGTTCGTGCCGACCTGGACTCAGTTACCACGCCCGCGGGCCTCGAGGCCGCCTGTGCGAAGGTCCTGGACAGGTACGAGGACGAGCTGCTGGGGCACTTCGACCTGGAGGGCACGTGTGAGGCCAGCAGGTGCAACGGCAGGAGCGAGGGCGTGAAGCTGGTCCAGACGCAGCTGGAACGCCACCGCTCCAGCAGTTGGCAGCCCACCGAGCGGCCAGACCCAGCCGATGCGCACTGGGGTTGGCTGGCTGACAGGGTGCAGGAGTGGCGGCTGCTGCGGGCAGGGGGCAAGCGGTGCGGGCTCATGCGAGGAGCCTGCAGGTGAAGCTGCTGCACTTCAAGCCACCCGCCCCTGGCTGCGAGCAGACGGTGTGGCGAACCTGGCGGCGGCTGGCGCGGCGCCTGCATCGCCTCCCCGATGTCGAATGCGACGAGCTGCTGGCCCTCCTGAGCCGTCAGGCGGTGGCTGCAGCAGGGAGGGCGTCGCACAGGCGCTACAGGGCCTGGCTCGACTGGACGCGCGACGCCACCGCAGCGGATGGCATGCGCAAGGCGTTTCGCTGGATCCGCGAGCCTGCCCCGTGGGCGGCGGGGCGGCACGGCGGTCGCCAGCTGCGGGGCTGCAGACGGCGCAGGAGGCGGCGGATGCGGCCACCAGCCCGCGACATGCCCTGCGGAGCCAGGGCGAGGGGCTGGAGGCGATCCGCTGGCCCAGGGAGCTTGGCGACGCCCCCCCTCTGCCGACGCCCGATGAGCTGCGGAAGGTGGGCCACTCCTTCCCGCGCATCACGGGCCTTGGGGGCGACCCCTTTCACCCGCGGCACGTCGCCTTCCGGTCGGACGGCGCGCTGGTGGCCCTGACGGCGGTCTGGCGGCGCATGCTGGCCCTCGATCGCGTGCCGAAGGCGCTGGCCTTGCTGCAGATGGCGCTCATCCCGAAGGCCGAGTCGGGGTTCCGCACCATCAGGCTCTTCGCGGGCTCCCTGAGGCCCTTCGCGCGCTGGACGCGCGGCACTCTCGGCGCCCGCTGGGCCAGCGACCACCAGAGGGACTACGTCTACGGCACGGCTGGCCAGAGCTGTGAGACGCGCGTGTGGATCCAGGCGGCCAATGCAGAGGTGGCGACGCACCGCAGGCAGGCGTCCTGCACGGTGCTCATGGACCTTTCCAAGGCCTACGAGCACATCCCGTGGGCGCTGCTGGCCCTGCGCGCCCGCGCCATGGGCTTCAACATGATGCTGATGAGGATGATCGTCAGGTTGCACGCCCTGCCGAGGCTGGTCACCGCGGACGGCGTCGCCATGGGCTGGTGCAGCCCGCAGCGAGGAGTGGTGGCAGGCTGCAGCTTCGCCGACCTCTGCATGGGCATCTTCCTCGTCCCGCGGCTGGATGAGATCGCGGCGCTCGGCGCGGTGGACGTGGGCAACGCAGTCGACGACGCTCAGCTCAGCAAGGTCGGGCTGCCCAGAGTCGCAGCGGCCAACGTCAGCGCAGCCTACAAGAGAATTCGAGACGACCTCTCGGCGGGCGGGCTCGTCGTCAACGCCGGCAAGGGCGTGGCGCTGTCCAACTCGCCCGCCTGCGGTCGCGAGGTCGCGCGACGCTGCCGCCCCCTGCGCGGCAAGCTCAAGAGCTCGGCGAGGAACCTGGGCGTCGACTTCGCCAGCGGGCGCCGTGCGGGAGTGAGCGCGCGGACCAAGCGCACTGCCACTGTCCTGCGCCGTGCGGCACGCA